AGAAAGGAAAGGGAAAAAGATGTTGCAAGAAGTGGATGCATTTTACAGGCAGGCCTGCACTTGCATGCACTATTTTTTCACAGAATTTAAGGCCAGCTGGTGCCTTGTATGGGACAGGACATAACAGATGACTCAGTGTCTGGAGATAAATTTATCTGGGTCAGGGCACTTCACAAATGCAGAGGACAGAGGGGATGAAGACTGAGGCAGTGAAGCACCAGACACAGAGCGAGCGTAGGTAGAGGCCACATCCTCATTGCACCAGTGCTTTTTGTGGCACCGAGCACACCAGCCTGGGCAATTTGAGGAGGGATATCCATTAACCCTCCTGCCTCARTTCAGCTGGGTGTTGGTGGTATGTGAGCAAAAACCAGGACATGGCACAATGTCAGCTAAAAGCTGGACAGAAGGGAGGTTGGGAAGGCCAAGTCACGACTCCCACTCCCTAGGCTAGTGCAGGGAGCTTGGGCTTGCTGGCAAGCGCAGCAGCTCGTGCTCTGGGGAGCAACGCTTGCCTGGAGGGAAGGGGTCAGACAATGTTGCTTTGTTCCGTGTAATCCTCCTTCGCTGCTCCCTCTGTATGGGGCTGAGGAAGTTTGGCGTAGGATAAGCCACACACACGCGCGCTTTTGGCTCTCTACATGAACAGGGACACATTGACCCGCTGAGGAATTTGCTGCCTGTCTCTCACTCCTGACCACCCTGGGAGGTGCCCCCGGGCTGTGCTCAGACCTCACTCCCTCGCACAGAAGGCACCAGAGGTCACATGCAAAGTCAGGAGAGCGCGGGCCTAGGCAGAAGCATCTGATCCCCACAGCCCCAGCCCAGCTCAGCCATGAGCCACGCTGCCTGCACCATGGCAGTCGCTCTGGGGACCTTCATGCCTTTGCCGGCCTCAGCGCCTTCAGGCCCAGTCCATTCCTGATGATTTCTGTGCCGAAGGGCTGCTGTGTCTCCTGCRCTGAATGCTTTCTTTGTGTGGTATATTAAGAAATAGCAATGCCTTTTTCTAAGACTGGAAAAAAACAAGACCTTGGAGACTAGTCTCAGTTTGGCAAAGTGATGGCCTACTGTAGTGCAAGACTAGGGCATCAGTTGGTTACAAGTATTTAAACCTGCCAGAGCAAAGGCAAAACACCAAACCTGTGACCTTACAGTACTTTCCTTAGTGGCAAAGAGTAACTTTAAATCATCCAGGTCATTGTCTAGGCTGATTTTAATTATTCTGGCTATCCATCCTCCCCTTGAGAAATGGCTCCTTAGCCAGACAGAAGTGCTGGAGCAGCGCTGGGAGTCCATGCAGGGGTGCTCWGGCTAAAACTGGCTTGTTTCTTGTCCACCCTTCAGGCCGTTTGGTTGATGCTCTCAAGAACTATGAGGTGATCTTCTACTTGGCGGGCTCCGAGGTGGCTCTCTCCGCCCTCTTTCTGGCCATGGCCACTTACTGCTGCCTCAACCGGCAGAAGAAGAAGGCACCTCCCCCGGAGAAGTCTCCCTCAGCTGGCGGCGGGAGCGACACGGAGGAAGCTGAGTCTGATGTGCAGGAGCCTGAGGAGCACAGCAGCAACAACCACCAGTTGGCCCACAGCACTGGCGACRCCATGGCGGTGGCCGTCGAGGAGGCCAACCACGTGGCCGCGGAAGAGCAGAGCGGGGAGGGAGGCGGGTGTGCCGAGGGGGACGGGGAGGTGTTGGCACGAGCCAGCTGCAACACTGACCAGACGGTAGAGCGGGACAGCTTTTAGCCAGGACGGAGGAATCGAGACAATGCGAATGGATGTAACTGGCTTGGTGGGCATGTAAATCGGCATGGGTGGCTAGGTGGGCCATGGGGTGGAGGAGGGTGAGGCAGAAGTGGGTGTAAGAAGAAGGAGAGAGTCTTATAGCACTTCCGTATGTACATATGTCCACGTACCTACTCAGTGATATGTCTACTGACCCCCCCACCCAAACAAACGAAAAAAAAAACCCACTTTCTATCCTGCCATTGAACYGGCTCTGGAAAGAGTATTTTGAAGAGGCTGCACGGGACTTCTCTCTTTCTGCATTCTCACAATACAAAGCACAAACAAGAAGAGCCTCTCTGTAATCTCATGGTCTTTGGTCTGGTGGCATCTAACCCACTTACAGTGTCAGGACAGAGAGAGGCCCRGCCTACCAGCTCTCAGAAAGACTGAGGGCAACTGCCATGTGGCAGGCCTCTGGGAATGCAAACTGGGAGCTAACACACGAGAGACCAGGCCAGGGCTAGCTGGAAGGTGTTTGAGGATATGTTGTAATTCAGAGCCATCATATGAGTTGCCTCCAGCTGCAGGCAGCATCAGCACAGATCCCACTGCCCCCTGCAATTCTGCCCTTGAGCACGGCTCAACCAGTGGGAGCCCTGGTGCCTGCCACCTCCATCTGGAGCAGCTTTTGTGGGTGGTGAAGCTGGAGCAGCGGCATATGATGCTGCTTTTCCAAGAAGGCAGACGCTGGGTCAAAGGTTTCTCTTTAAGGGTGTGAAAGGAAGACGATATCTAAGAAAAGCTAATGCCATTAAGCAAGCAGCATGACGTGGAGCCTTTCCAACAGGAATAGCTGCAAGCCACTTCTCTTAGGSTAAGTTTGCCTTACATCAGCTTAAGCTAGGCTAATATGAGCTGTGGAAATGTATGAAGGGAACAACTTAGCCCATATGCAGGTGGTATCTTCAGTTCAGGTAGAGACACACACACTGTGTCCCAAGTGATTATCCACTCAGCAGGAATGGTACAAGGAAAGACTGTGAGTGTGTGCGTGTGTGTGTGTGTTTTCCTTTTTAAATAGAAAACATACTTACATAATAGTCAACAGTAAGGCCAAAGCTGTAACGTGTGAGTGCAGCAAATGAGGGTGTCTATGCACGTGGTAGGCCAGGCATGACCTCCTCCCCCAGGCTGCAGKGGTGGCTTTCTGGATTCAGAGAGGACAACCTTCCCTGGCATGCTTAAACCACTCTTAATCTGCTTTAGCATTAGATCTTTTATAAACACCCCAGCCAAAGCTCTTTCTTCCGCTTCCCTGAACCGCTTCACCTCAAAGGCCCTGGGAGAACCTATCGAGAGATCAGAAACTCAACAGACAATACAATGAAGGCAGCTCATGAAACCACCAAACAAGCGGTTCCATTCCATACCGGCTGGATTATCAGGTAATGGATGAAATTTGCAGGCCCTGTAAAGTTATTTTAACTCCCCTGGSGGTGCAGGATCATAAGAGAAAGAGCTTCAGTCCAGATGCTCACGAACAGCAGCAAATGATGAGCAAAATAAAGCTGATGTAAGAAAGTTTTAGAAGACACAGGAGCTGTCAAGGAGGAAGTAAAGCTCATGGGGCTGTGCCTGGTCCCATCATGGCTATCAACACCCTTCTTAGCTCTAATTATGAGATTATGAGCCTGTCACATCAGTGACTTTGAACTCCGTTTAAATTCCTATTCAAAGCCATTTAAAAGAAACCTTCCAGAGCAAACTAGGCATCACAGCAACCCCCAGATATGAAGCTCTGGGAGAATGAGAAGCACCAGGAATGGTCATGGAGCCCTGTAGTCCTTAAATCACCTCATGGCTGGTGTGATTCTCCTCCCGCTCTGTGCAAAAAGGTAAGATCACTATTCCTGTTTCCTTCAACCAAGCAGGAGTGCAGCTGCTTTCCAAGTGAAGGGAACACTGCTGTCCTCCCAAGCCAGCTTTTCCTTGGTTACCAAGCCCTCTTCAGGAAGCAGCCTACAGTTTCCCAGAGGTCYAAGGCCCACACAGGTTGAACACAACCAAGCTTGTTAGTGACAAGCAGGTAACTAGAAAAACAGCCCTTGTTTTTCCTTGCCACCACACACACACAACATTTTCAACTAAACCTCCCGTTCCTTTATCTTATCTCAGAAAAAATACATAAAAGCTATTACAAAAGCTCACTACAGATAATGTGCTGGAAGAGGTATCAGTCCTCTTTTTCTCGTCTTTGCTCAGGATGGTTGGGATGAAGGGTACCACTTCAGGAAGAGTTTTACTGGCAAAACCAGACCATGTCCTGCAGCCGCAGGATGCAGGGTCCGCCCAGGCCCTACCTCCCATCGGTCAGATGTTTCCAAACCTTATAGCACCTGCCTCTGTTTGGGGTCTTTGACAAAGAGGGATGATTGCATGATTATCTGTGAGCAAGGAGGAAGCCTGCAGGGTGATGTTATGGCAGAAACTAGGGCCATTCTCCTGCACTACAACTCCTGGTAGGGTGCTAAGGCTGTTGGTTGTCAACTTCTGCCAGCCAAGATGGAAAACAGAAAGTTCACATTCCCTTGTCTTCCACATTGCTTTGGTGGCTTTCAGGCAGGTTCCACTAAGRTATTTTCTCTGTTCCTCTCCACTCCTCTGTATTTTGGCAGAACAAACAGCTCTGAAAGCGGATTAGAGACTTAAATATCAGCTCAAGCTTGTGATGCAACAGCTGAGCTCTCTGCAGAAGCTGGTCCTGCAGCCGTGTAAGGAAGCCACAGGACAGGGCTGAGGTGACTGCATGGCTTTCAAGACTGGTGTTCTAGTGGGAGACTAAGCTGCAGCACAGCAGAGAAACTGGTAGTTGTGGCCTTGCTACAGCATTTATAATCCTGAACCTGTGGAAACCTGTGAGAGACAGTGACCTCCATGTTGTGTAGAGAGAAATCATGACTACAATCATGAAAAAAATGACCCTCTTCTGCCAATTATATTTTAATCTTAAAACCAATGGATGAAGAGCCATCAACTCACTAAAGAAAACTCCAGAGGAACAAGAAACAAAATGTCACATATTTTCTTTATTAGAGACAACACTCAGTACATTAAAGTCTATTTAAAGTCTTCCAGAGCAGCTAGACCATGGACGACTTCCTTCGAGGCACCCACAGAGGTGGCAAGGCTCCAGAAACAAATCAAAAACAAAACAAACATCTCACTCATAAATTAATGCCCTTAAATAGCTTCTCTCATTACCACTAGAATGTAATGACAGAGAAGTCAAAACCCTTCCCTCAAAGAAGCACCACTTGACACCACTGCTGACAGTTGTGTTGCCTGCTAAAAGAGAAAGATGCCATCTGGATCTGGGATCAGCCCACAGAGATGCAGGGAGCAGATAAAAGAAGGAGGAAAGACAAAACCTCACCTACTTTCTTTTTCCTTTCCCTCTTTCCTTTGTGCTGGGCAATGGGACATTAGTTACTGGTTCTGGTCTGGCCCAAAGGCAACACGAAGTATTTGTGCAGAGTAGCATGCTCAACACCKCGAATCCAGAATCTCTAAGTGCCCACAGGCAACATTTTCTCTCTCCACAAGGCTTCTGACTCTCCTCTCTAGTTTAAGGCTAAAATATCTCCTCTGTGGTTCTAAGGCTGTCCTTCTTGGCACTTGCCTCAGGAGCAGAGCGTGCAAGACTGACTGCAGCACATCTTGCTACTGTTCTCTGCTAGCAGCCGTGAGAGGGGAGAATAATGGAAAGGAAGCACACACTGCTTTGCTGTGCAGATCTGAGGCAAATGGATTTCTGAAAAAAATGCATCTGCCCAAGTGTCTCAGCTGACTGGGAGGGCTCCTTCCTGGGCCACTTCCCTGCTTTCCATATGGGAGGGCATAGCCACAACTCAGAGGACTCTAGCTCTGGGGGGGAAACTAGGCAGTGTGCAGACAATGCAGCAATGCAGCTCAGGGACTCTGAAGAAGATGGTAGGCAGGAAAAGAGCTGGACAGGGAAGGACTTTTACATCCTTGCAGTAGGACTGCAGCAGCCAGGTAGCCACTTCCACTGACCTCTACTTTGACAAGTTCCCCCAGGACCTCGGAGGAAGAAGATTTCATCACATGTGCTCAACCACTAGTTCTAACCATCAGTTTGGACTTGCTCCTCTTTCTTATAGACAGAGAGAGCTGGGAGCAGTGAGAGTGTCATCCTACAAGAGCCTGCCCTGGATCTCATGAGGACAGATGGACACGACTGAGGAAAATGAGTATAGGCCAGAGTGGGAATGTCCAGAGCAGTCAGCAACGCAGTGAAGGAAAGGATGCTGGTGCTGACACTTTCCTACAGTCTAAGGGGAAGACAGGAGGGGGCTGTCCTTGCCATTTGTAGCCACCTCTCTTTTTTTTTTTTTTAAATTGGCTTCCACTTGCTGAAGGAGAGTGGTGCATCTCACACACTCAGCAGTGTCCTGTCTGCACGTGGAGTCACATGGCAATGGGGCAGGAGATTGTCCTCCCCACACCTCAGCATCCGAGTTGGGCAACAGAAGTCTGTGGTGGGAAAAAAGGAAACATCCAGGCAAACAAGCAAGGGACGAGGAGGGAAAGCAAAGGCTGGTCCCAGTCCAACCAGCTACCCCCACCCAAAGCAGCGGAGGAATCCCAGGCTGGACATACACAGAAAGTCACGGAGGATGAATTGCCATGTGAAATACATGTTTTTTATATCAGTCTGCAAGTTTTCTCCTGTAGTCATGCTGGCACATTCAGGCATCATCAATCAGCTTTTCACCATTTGTGTCCTCTTTCCTGCTACTGTCTTCTTCACTGCCTCCTCCTCCTTCTTCCTCTTCTGCCCCATCTGTGTACACGTCCTTCTGCCCATAGTTGAGGGTAGTGCGGGCAAGGTCCACCTCAATGGGAAAGACATCCGCGTCTCGGAGCACAACRTAGCAGTCGTCGTAGTACTTGGACATGGTGGAAACAAAACGCTGGAGCTGAAACACGATGTCCTGCACTGTATTGGAGACATATTGGGAACAAATTAGGTGAAGATCCCATTCCCAAGCAGTGTGAAGGCTGTGACCAAACCTCCCTCGCCAGCATTAGTTATAGACTCCTATGTACCAGTCCCACTTGGCTCCCAAGGGTAGAAGGGCTCTTCAGCCAAAAGTTCTTAGATGAGATGAATGAGTATGAGGACAGAAGTCCTGCCAGCCTGACCCCTTCGTGTGCTGGACACAGCAGTGGTACTCACCGTGTTTCTGGTCCAGGAGTTCAATTTTCTCTAGCACGTCCTTCCTCATCTTGGCAAAGCGCGTGCGGGCTTCCTGGCGGCACCGCAGCACAAGGCGGTATTCGTAATTGCCAGTGCTCACCCTGTAGAGGGGTTCGCCCAAGGCCTGTCAAAACACAGTGCCGTCTTGGAGACTCGAAGCAGACAGTGCTAAAGGGCTTTTGCAAACTGTTTCCCTAACACTGTGAACTCACGAGCACCTTGTGTTATTATAACCCTCCTAGGTCCCCCAAAATTGGGCTCAGGAGCTAGGATATACTGGAAATGCTGTAGCATCCCATCAAACTGGCAGTGTGGCCATTCTGAATGGCAACACATTCCAGCAAGGGTAAAGAAAGATGCCACTATAAAATGAAGACACCAGACATCGTTCAAGCCAGGATGAAAGACTGATATGGTCTCTTAGTTGAGCTATTAATACAGGCATCAGAGCAAACAAGCTCAAGACGTGAGGGATTTATGGAYTTATATCAATCAGAGGAAATACTCTGCCTTTCCCTGCAGGCTTCATCTTATACTGAATGCCCCACGTAGTGCAAGTTTACATAGTAAATGTTGTGGTACCTACAATCATCCAGACCCAATGGTAGAAATCTATATAGATGTAACTTTGGATTGCCCCACAAACTGTTTTCAAAGAGGTTAGATCTATTGGAAGAACATAGCATCCTTCTCTTGCACCTACAAACACAACATACACAAAAGTCCATGCTATGATTATGTCTTGGTAATGCAAATTGCATGTGCCAAAACCCAGAGCTCTGACTTGGTTAGGCATGACTGTGATGCCTTCCTTCCCCTTTAGCAYTGAGAGATTTAGAGTTGTCTTAGGGAAGTTTTATTCTTTCCTAGAACTGGTTACTGGAATATCAAAATGCAAATCTCTACTCTGAGATCACCACCCAGGATAAAACAGTTACTGCTTCTATGCAGGAAAACTGAGCATAACCGTTAGTTACCTTAAACAGAGCTCTTAGGGATTAAAGGTATAAAACTCTTCAGAGAGTCAAATAACTAAGCGTTACTAGAGAAGGACATCACTTTTTTTCTTCTTTTAATCTTCTGAGGTTAAATAACTTACTTCCAGAACTAAGTTACTGTTAGCAGAAATCCTCTAATCAATTTTCTTTAGCTACAAACGCAGYTTTGACATTTGCCTTACTGCAGAGACGCTAAACTTCCATTCTCAGAAGCAAGCCCAGAATTAATGATAAGCTGTACATTACACAGAGGGAATCTGTGAAGATAACACCTTAATCCTCCTTACACCAGCTAATATTACCTAAACACTGAGACATGCAGCCAGTGAGCAAGCAGTCTACAGGGGAAGTGACTGGTCGCTCCTCTATTCCGCAGCACCAATGATTCATGACAGTTATCTCTATGTTGTGTTATGGACCTCCAGGTTCTAATATGTTAAGAATAAATGTGCATTATTCTTATGATGCATTCACTATTTTGACTGCCCATAGGCACCAAAGTGCTTTTGCAACTGCAGGGCAGTTTGCAGAGAGCTGCAGCAAGCCAGCCTGCAGTTCTCACTGCCACAGCAYCGGTACTCACAATGGAGCTGTATTCCTCATCGTCCATCTCCTTGACTTTCAGGCAGTAAGACTTGTCAGGATTAAAAGAAAGAAGAAATATTAAGGATAAGCTAAACAAAGGCTATCCAAAACTACATAAAATAGGGAGTCTGAGGCTATTTAGAGGAGTTCAAGAGGGCAAGTTATATGGGAACTGTCTGCAATTAAAGAAATTGAATCAGATAGGAAAAGTCATCTGTGTTATGGGAAACAGTCTCTTACTAGTGACCACTGTTAGKGCAAATAGATGTATTTAAATCTGGGTAATCCGGCAACAGATAAAGAACTGGAAAAAAAATGTATTCTTGAATGGATTGTGGAAGGAAGGACATGTGATTCATTTAGACTATGCAAGATCATCAGGGTATGATTCCATACAACTTAATTCCAACCAGCACAACRAACAAAAAGCACACAGAGTAACTCACCAAATATTCAAACTTGACATCCAGGTACTTTTTGATAGTCAGTCTCGTGTCAGGAATGGCTTTATTCAGGTAGGTGTTCAAATCAGTCAGCATCTGCAAGGGAAATATTCCATTTCTGACTTTTAGGTCAAAAAGCACGAGTCCAATTTATTAAATCCAACCTTCTAACCAGCACAGGTCATGAGACTGCCTCGAGTTGACTCTTTTCTGAGCTAGAGCATATTTGAAAGGAAATGTTACATCTGCAGTCAGAATTGCCATGGTTAGAGTATGCATTACAGTGACTAGCAAGCGGTTCGTCTAGCGTTGGAAATACACACCTCGCTTCTAGTCTGAATGTCTTCTCTCAACTCATCTGGTTTCATTTCCAGATAGTGCTAGAAAGTGTTCTCCCTAGATTCAAAGGTGCAATATCCAATATTATTCATCCAACACGGCACTTAGCATGCTGCTCAAATCAACATTTAACATTCCCTTTGCTAAACCAAATAGACAATTGAGTAAGAGACTCTTACTCAAACATATTCATTAAAATCCTTTAATCTTCAACCGTTTATGGAAACTCTTCCAAATTATTGATATCTTTTAAAAATGGGTACCAATGTCAGGGAAAAGACTAAGGGCTATGTTGATCAAACTACCCTCTCAGCGTCCAAAGAAAAGGATAGGAATAAAATTAATGTGCAACAGCCAGAAGGACAAATCTCTACGTCAGGCTCAAAYAACACAGCAGACCAAGATACTTTCTACTTAAACTCTAAGGTTCTTTATGAAGAACCAGAAGAAAAGCAAAGATAGTTTTTTCTCCAGTGAGTTTTAAGACTACACCTTCAAAGTCCATTTTCTTTAGATCCCCTTATTTTCCAGACCCCCTTCTCCTAGGTTCAAAGTCTTTACCGGTTTAATTGTTTTCAGAAGGCGAATCCCAAACTTCTCAATGTTGCGATGGGCATCAGCAAATTTCACAAAGGCTTCGCTAGCAGCTGGTTGTGGCTCCCGTACACCAATGACAGAGAAAACATCTCCAAATGCTGGAGGAGGGCAATAAATACAAACAGACGGAAGAAGGGTTTGGCCCTGGAGAAGAAGCTTGCTTCCAACATTAAAACTCCTTCCGATAACCTTGCACTTGGCCAGGGGGATGCTGATACATATTCCCTAAAGACAAGAGCTTGGCAGGGCTTTTCTTCAATATCACATATGAAAGACAGTGGGCACTAATGCCAGGAAGGCAGTCTTTCCCAGCTTAGTCCTGCAATATTTACTTCTGTTCTGCTGAGGAAATCACACATCTAAGTAGTGACTAAAACTCCTGAAACTGGAGGTCAAAGATTTCTGCTCCCTTTGCTCAGACTCTTTACCTCTATGTGTCTGGGACAGTTCAAAGAAAGCTCTAAGAAGACTCTTGGTGTGTTCTGTCAAGCCTGTGGTGGAAGTCAGAAAGAAAAAATCCAAGTCATTTCACTGAACCGYAACAGATGCATCCTGCCCTTCTGTTTGATATCTAGAAGAAGACAGTTTACCTTTGTATAACTCTGCAGTCCTTTCCAGCTCTTCCAATCTCTTTACCAATCCATCTGAAAGGAAAGAGATTTAAAATATTCAAATCTAGACCTGAATGCCTAGGAAAACCCAGATTTCATACATTTGGTTCAKTTTTTTCCTCCCCTCCAACATGGGAAGTGAATAAATAACTGCAAAGTTGTTTCATAGTGTAGGGCCATCAGCTACTAACACTTGCTAAGTGAGGCCCTGAGTCCCTCCTTGAAATTATCTTGACCTTGGCTAACATTCAAATGGCCCCAAAGACATGATATATCCCTCACGAAAAGGCGATTTCAACAGATAAATATGGCAAAAAAGAAGAATCCTAAAAGAATTATGCGGAATATGTAAGAAACTGTAAAAAAGTAGAGGACAGTAGGGGTTCCCTAAAAAATGTCTCTCTGCTCACTACTTACCATTGCAAAGTATGGCTCGGCTTAATCCCAGGGCATCTGCTGTCCCTGAGCTCATGTTCTCTACCAGTCGGTGCTTTACCTTCTTCAAGACTAAAAATCAAAAGAGAGATCCAGGATCAGGGTTATTTCTATGGCTTATGTTCTACAATGAACTTATTTTACCAGCTTCTTAGGCATCAAATGGGCTGGTTAGCTTCAGCTTAAATCAATACTGAGGTAGTGAGCAGGAAAAGATAGGCACCACAGAAACTAGACCTTAGGCATAGCTCTGCATGGAACGTTTTCTATTCTGCCTGTTCTGCTTTCACATCCTTCATGCTTCTGTCAGCATGACCTTGCCACTTTCTCTCCAACAGTATCCCACTAAATCTCTTCATCATAAGCTATCTGTTGTGATACCTGGAACTAAATTGTGCTTATGAGACATCCTGTACTGCTTCATCTCGAGTCAGGAGACCAGGCTGAATGCAAGACAAATAGGACTGAAAAAGCACAGGTATGCCTTTCCTTTATATTATTTTATTGTTCAGCATTAAACCCTTTTGTCACACTTAAGAATTTATTTCTGTCCTTGGTGGTCATACTCTACGTATCACTAAAGACAAATTTGTCCTTCTGGATTCAGATGACTCAACCATATGCATTTAGAGGTGTATTTCCAGGGSTGCCAAGTGCCTGCAGCTCCCAGGAATGTCAGCTGAAGTCACAGATATYTAGCGCCTCTGGAAAATCATCCACATTCTCAATGCACTTTTGTTTCCCCAGAAATCCACCCCAGGCCTCAGCAATTCCCTGAACCCCTTTCAGTTCATCAGCACCTTCTCACTGAAAAGGAATGAAAGTGAAAAGAATAGACAGATCTTTTGTGAAGGTGAGGAAGGCAGATCGTATGAAGCAGAGAGCTGCACAAGCTTAGTTCAAAGCACACCCTTTATTTTAAAAATAAACTCTCCCCTCTGGCCAATAAAATCAACGGTTGTCCAAAACACAACCTTTTCACTTCAAGCCTCTAAGGAGAAAGATAACCAACAAGTCTTACCAATATCCAAGGACTTGCCCTGCTTTGGGTCAGCCTGAAGCTTGTTGTAATGAATYGTCACTTCTCCCTGTTGGAAGAGCAAATCCAAAATTCTTGTACTGGAAGCAAGCAGCAACAGCCTCCCTTCCTGAAGGGCAACAATCTGTAAACCATGACAGAGCAGCTCCACTGGCCCCCTCCTACCTCTCACCTTTACCATCTGTATCATCTTGGCCACCTCCACCTTGGTCTTCCCTTTGACAGACTTCCCATTCACTCCCGTGATCTCATCACCAGCTGCTACTGTTCCATCTAGGGCTGCTGGAGTGTTATCAAATACCTAGCAGAGAGGGGAAAGAGCACAGGTAGTCTGGAATGAGGAGGAAAAGTGAATAGAAGGCTGAAGGAAGAAACAGGAGGAGATCAGAAGAGACACTTATATTCTTCCTATTTAATTCAGTTGTATTTATTTGTATTTTGTTCATGGTGAAGCCTTGTCCCGCCCCCCCCACCTCTAACTCAGAGGTGGGCTGCTCATCTCTCAGGAGCTTGCAGTCCCCACGACAGGCCCCTCAAGAGGCTGCCTCACTATTCCTCTGAATTCTGACAGAGGAGAAGGATAATTTCACAAGTCCTAATTTATTTTTCCATGCCTGTTAGCTAGTAGGGCAGCAGCTCTGTGCCATGTGCTCTAGGTGTCCCTGCTTGAGCAGGGGGTTGGACTAGATGATCTCTAGAGGTCCCTTCCARCCTCAACCAGTCTATGATCTGTGAGAAGTGAGATAGTTCACACTTTGACAGAAAGAAAAATCACAGGACTCTGCACATGATCCATCTCTCAGGCCAACACCTCTACCARGATGGTTTATTACTCTTCCCCGAGCACCCACCTGGACAATATAGAGACAGGGGCAGTACTGTGCTCCCCCCCCAATGCTGATCCCGATCAGATTCTGGGAGTCCTTCCTCAAGGTTACTGTCCCAGGAACAGTGGGTATCCCACTAGAATGAGAGAGAGAGAGAGTGAATTGCTGTCACTGCAGGCACAGCTATATTTGTATGAAATAATCAAGGTATCTAAGTCAAAACAGATTGAAAACATGGTGGTTGTTGTCCACTTGAATGACTCACTTTATTTCTGCCGTACTGCTATCAGTACAGACCAGCAGAAAAATCTCTGAACGCTGTCTTTATTGCCATTACGTGTGAGAGGGGGAGACACCTTCACCCACTACTAGGGAGGGATGAAATGCTCGCCTCTTTTAGGGAGCACTTACCTGGTCTTTGTGCTAAAGAGAGCAGAAAACGCTCGCAAATGAAATGTTAGACAACTGCTCCCCAGCAAATTCTCTGCTAACCTCATAAAACCTTTTACTTGTTAAGAATAACCTAGCGTTATTCTCCTTACAGATATAAGGATTCCCAAGCTTTTCTCCACTTCTTCCTGCTTCCTATTTCCATTTCTCCAATGGAGTCATTTCTTCTCTAACTAAGGTCACTCTCTGAAGATCTCTCAGTGCTGTTTTTGTGAGCAGAAACTCACAGCAGTCACTGCAGAGCAACAGCGAGCACCCTGCACCGCTCCCCACCACAGCAATCCCTCATCCCCAGGCTCCAGAGCAAGGAATCAGCCCCACAGCCYGACTCGATAGCACACACTGGCAGGAACTGTCACTAAAAGGTCCTTCTATCTGCTCCCATTAGGAGTAAATAAATCAATAAACGTGGAAGACAAGTGAAATACTCACAGTTTATCTTCTTCAATGTCATAGTCCAGGTCTGCAAACATCGTTTCAGCGGGAGGGAATCTGTTGGTGGGGAACTCWGCTTATTCCAAACTGCCTGAAGTGRAAGAATAAAAGCCAACAAACCCGTGATCTCAACAGGTAAGTGCAGAGAGCCAAGCCGTGACCATTATTAAACTTTTTCTGTCTTATTTTTTTTAATTCCAGATGATGCTCTATGTCTCCTTCTTAYAGTGAAACGGAAGAGTATTTCAAAAGTCTCATTCTCTGCATCRAGCGGACACAGGAGAAAATACTTGAGTCCAAACGCTGCATTTTTGAGAACCCATAAACATATAGGCTTTATTCTATTTATCTATTTTTTCCTTCTCCGCTACAGAGAACAGAACCGGCTCCTTTCTGGAAACTGCCCCTTTCCCCRCCCGACCTGCCAGCCTCCCAACTTCCAAAGAGCCCCTGGATTGATCCCGTAGCGCCGCTGGAGGTCTCGGTTTCGTCCCCGAGGCCCCGGCAGGCCGGTACCTCCTCGCCGCGCTCTGCGCGGCTCCCGCGGCGGCCCCGCGCGCCGGGCCCCACGCGCGCGTGTTCACCCGCCGCGCCCCAGCGGGGCTGCCCCCTTCCCTGCTCCTCACCGGGCGGGCGCTCGCGCTCCCGTGGGGCCGCATCAAAGCGGAGGCAGCTGCCGCCCCTTCCCGCCCGCTGGCGGCCATGCCCCGTCACCCGTCACCCGTTACCGGGCCCCTACGTGCGGGTGCGGGAGGGGGGACAGGGCCGCGTTGCCGGGGCAACCCGGGGGGGGGGAGGCGGTTGTCCCGTGTCTCACCGGAAGTGCCCGTCCGCGCGCGGCCCCCGCCGCCGCCACCTGCCGCCCGGCGCTGCCCGACACGTCACTGCTGGGGCCAGCCCGGAAGCGCCCGGAGCTCCGCCCACTGCTCCCGCCCCGCCCCGCCTGGCGGCGCGCGTTGCCATGGGGACGGCGGC